CCCCAAAACCCCAAAACCCCAAAACCCCAAAACCCCAGATTTTGTTAAAATTATTGAAAGTTATGGAAGTGATAGAAGTAAATCAACTTAAGACGACTGAGAAAGTAAGCCAACTTATACTACTGGGACAAGGCCATGCTGATGACAATCAGAGCTACAGAAAGCCATCCATGAGAAGTTTTGGAATATAAAGCAACATAATGGGATTAAGAGAGTTATAGTTTTATGTGAATCATTAGAATTTTATTATGATGGTGACCTGTACTGGAGAAGCACGAATCCCACTAAATTATATATTAGTCTTTACCGATAGTTCATTCAATTTAGCATTTTCTTATTTCATATATTTCTAAATATCAGTGCAGTAACTTGCCATCTAAAATTAATAATGTAGGTGAATTGGACGGTTTGTGATTATTTGGCACAGTCCTAGCAAAACTCACTTATCCAAATTTTCAAAATGCTCTCTTCCAAAAATTACGTGTGATTAAATTGTTATCAGACCAATTTCAAGTCGGTGGTTACTTTTTGGATACTTTAACTCAGTGGCCTTGCCAAATTTCACCAATAATCTTATTTTATAGGAAGAAATTAACATGGATGGTGAAAAGAAGAAGAGCTACAAAAACCACTTCTGTGAAGGAGAGAATCGTGAGATTCACCATACTTATCAACCATGAGATCCATCCGAGATGGAGGATTATAAAACCATCAAGGTTATTTACCAAATGCCACTTGCTCCTTGCAAAGTCGAAACAGTCGCTGACTCCAACACTGGAAATGTAAGCAGCACCTTGAGCTTCCTCTGACTAAATATAGGTTTATGCTAAGAAAACAGTGTTCAAGGAAGGTTTAAATGACTTGATGAAGGCATTGGCAAGACAAGAATGAGTTATACAGTCTGAGCTTGATCATCCAAATATTATCAAACTTCATAAGTACTGCGAAACAGAAAAACACTTCGAACTAGTGATGGACTACTGCAACAACGGGTCTTACTTTGAAGATAGGCTAGAAGAGGTAGGCTAATTTAAACCTTTCATTTTTAACTACTATTGTTAGAATCTTTTTATAGTTTCAGAGATCTTGATCCAGTTCACTTAATTTTAAACTTTTTGACTAATTAGAGATTCTTCCTTCTAACCTTGATTTGTAGAGCAATGAACCAATTGAGGATATGGAACTACTCAAAAAGTACGCAAAGGAGATTTTATGTGCACTGGTTCATATTCATTCTAAAGGCATCCTTCATTGTGACATTAAGCTCTCTAATATGGGACTTCATAAAGATTCAGAAGACTCTGAAGAGATTCTCAAACTTTTTGATTTCAATCTCAGCGTGTACATCGATTCAGAAATTGAAGGGAAAGCCCATCTAGAGAAGAGCGTTGGAACTTTTGGATATATGGCACCTGAGCTTACTGGAGTAAGTATTCCCCCTGAATTCCACTTAATATCTCCTTTAGAAAGACATACATGTCGGTCCAGAAATAGATATGTGGGCACTTGGAATCTGCCTGTATAAAATGTGAGTAGCCTACCCTCCAAACCAAGTCAGGGGTTATGAATATGGTAAGACTGCTTATGAATTAACTGAAATTTTATAGGAACTGGCCCTATTCCATTTGTAAAAAGAGACTGGAGGAAGATTGACCCTGATTTTCAAGATTTGATCAAACAAATGTTGGAGTACAACCCAGAGAACAGAATCAGCTCTGCTGAAGCATTAGAACACAAAGCTTTAAGTTAAATCGATTGGCTGTAATAATTCCTCTAATTTGCTTAGTAAAACCAGGGGATAGCTTATTTACTAAGTAAACTATGGATAATTTATCTATAAAATAGTGATTCATTAACTTTTGTATGAATCTCCAAATATTATAAACTTCAACAGTCAGAATAATATTTGGGGTTTTGGGGTTTTGGGGTTTTGGGG